ACACACGGGTTACCATGATCATAAATGCGCCGCAAAATGCATAGCGAGGCGTGTTTCAGTAATCGCGACCAGGTTCATAGTGTACATAACTTAAGGAGAAACGAACGCTGGAATTGTGTTTGTGTGTGGGTGTGTGAGTGAGAGAGAAGGGAAACCAGAATTAGTGATACACGTACTGTACAGTCCAACTGTTCACAAACATGCCTTCGAGCAGTCTGATTTGTTACGCGGTGATAATGGGGATAGCGCCACTGTCGGTTTTCTGCTCCCAGAAACTTGGTCACAGAATGTGCTACGCGTCAGCCCGGAAATGTTGTGTACTGAACCTGTCTATACAGTTCTTTATGCCCCCCACCTATCATTTGTTAATCTTCAATAGCGGTTTCGTCCACCGAGGTAGCAGTTTTTGGTTGCTTCTTCATTTCATCTGTCCATCTCCTGTTGCTCATGGTATTTTCTATATTTGCAAGTGTTTCATTATCCGGTTAGTTCAAATACCATATTTTACGGAATGAAAATTTTCTCAGTTGAGCTCAAATTTGCCGCAGTTTTTGAAGAATCAACTGCCATTTTTTCGATCCAATAATAAGTAATGTTTAAAACTTTGCTCTCATTGGATTCATACCTTTAGCAACTTTCACATCCCATTCGTTTCACTTTGCAGATTCGGAAACCATTCCAACAATGGGGGTTCTGCAAGCCGGCCTTTTGGATCGTGAACCAACATGCCAACGAGCAGTGCTTCATTTACTCATTGAGCTGCTCAAATTTGCTATCCTCGATCCCGGTTTGCCAAGTTCCCGTTTGGTAAGTTGCACTGGTGAGACGTTTTTTGAGGAGGGGTGGAGGGGCGCAGTGGGAAAACACCTCCGACCTCGAGAATGCAGTGAGAAGGGCTTCCAAGACAGAGTCTATTTGAGACGCCTGGTCGTATAGGAGCATTTCGCGAGGTGCAAGGGAAGGGTGATCAGGCGCAACCCTAGACACCCACCTCGCGACCATACTGAGGCTTTCGGAACCTGAACGGTAACCTGATATTCTGCTCCCTGACCTGGACAGGTCATAGATCCAACTGGGTGTCAGTTTTCCAGGCTTTGGTAAGCACTGTGCTCCCCCGTTAAAAGTAAGCCATAAGAGCTTTTGAATGGGTAGCGGAGAAGAGAAAATTGCCATTTCATTTAGCTATAGATTTGACCCATTAATGTGTAACGAAATTAGGGCTAAACGCAGGCGCGTTTTAGAGGATTCAGATAACATTGGATGAAGGTTTGAATGAATAGCAAGGTTTGGAGAGGTTAGGAACTTTGGGAGCATTGTAACACTCTTTCTTCCTTGACCACTTTCCGTTCTGCTATGCTGCATCTCATTCACTGTCATTTGGCGTAGGTACTGGTGGCGACATTAAATCCCACTCAGTAATCACTTACCACGCCATACAACAGGTTTTCCATTTTTCTGTCATTGTTCTGTCTCTCCATTCCCTCTTTGTTTACTCCATTAGTTTTTTGGTCACAGGTCTAGCCCAAATCGACCTATGTAAATCGGGACAATAAGCATGACCTGAATGAATCTGGAACCAAAGAACCCCCATGTATGCTTCCAGTCAATTATATGATGGCTTAATCTATGCTTCTGTTTTCCAGGGTCCAATGTGGCAGCGATTACCGGTTTCAAGGGAACCTCAGTCACGTACTGCTATGCTCAACAAATATTTCCATCTTCACTTAGTTTCAGTTCTAATGAAGAAGTATTTTATGATTTATTTACTTACTTATTACCTTGAACGGTATAGAAGATGAATCTGAGCTGATCATAGCAATTAAACTTAAATTTCCGGCAAACCATGATCATAACTTGAAGTGCCAATCAAATGATGCACGAGCAGGCCGACCATGATATTTAATTGTGCTTCCTGAGCAAATGCTCCTCCTTCATAGGTGATGATATACCTCAGCAAGTGGGCTTTTTGTCATCCAGTATTTGCCGAGACGGGTAGTAGTAGTAGTAATAGTTGTGTCAAGAGCATGAACTCCGCGAGAGGGGAATTACCGATCAACCTCACCGTCTACTCAGTTGGACGTTGGAGAAGGGTCCTTCGGGCCTTATCTGGACAGTGGGTTTACTTTTATTACATTACTGGGTAGCGATCGCTCTTCTCCCGAACGGACAAAATAAGTAATTTGTGTCCTGGGTCTCATAGGCAGGACGTCATTGATTAATTCACCGCAGTGCATTCTAATGAAAGCCAACTTTACAGTTAAGAAGGGAAAGAATATCAAGCGTTCCATTGTGCTGATTTCTCATAGTCCATAACGAGTTAGGCCAGGCTCGCATTGTTCTTCTTTAAATCCTCAATCATATGACGCCTTCGGGGCTAATCCTTCGTTTTGATTTTTTTTTCAAATTTTCCCAGTTTCTCTCGTCATATTAGTGAGTTCCGCTTATCCTGTTCATCCTCCGATTTAATTATTCACTGTACAGGTCACACAACTGCTGGGTCAGCGCTTTAGCGAGTTGGAAGTGAACGAATTTACTGTGACTGGGTTACTACGGGTGTTTCTGATCGGACGGAACGGCTTCGAAGATGACATGTCTGACTGGCTTCGACCGCCTACGCNCAGCAAGCCGCTCTCCTTGCTTTTGTATGTGACGAACTGGTTGGCTCAAGTCGGCTAATTTCTACTGAAGTGGACCGGACCATTGAATTACAAGCGGCTCTGAAACGAGAAAAATGGGTATTGGAGTCAAAAATACGACGGTAAGCATTGTTTGTGGGTGCATAAATGAATGTATGAAACATAAAACGGTTTGTCTTACTTTTTCATACATTACGACGGAAGTTAACCATAAGCGAACTTGCCGGTTCGCGACCGCCAATAAAATTTTATCGAATCCCTCTCGTATCGGATACACGCGACTGCGTCTCATTGTTGTACTCTTCGCGCTTTTGTTGACTGAGGCCCCGTAAACACCTTCTGGGACTTATATGCAAAAGAACACCCATCCAGAGACCGGAAAGAAATCTGCATTTTTTCAATCTTTTTTATTTCCAAGCATTTTGCTTCTCGATGCCATCCTGTCTATTTTTTAGACACCCAATTTTTGTTGGTCTCCGAACACAATCAGGATTCATCGCTGCATGCGATTTTTCCTACTGCGTGTAACCATCCACGCAACACGAGTGCCATGCCAATTCTATTGCCCATATGTATGGACATTCATCCACTTTTTCGATCGCTTTTTCCAGGGTGTTCTCTGTGCAGAAAAATAGTTGAAAAAGTATGAGTGAGACCGTTAGTTTTTGTCGGAACAAGCTGAGTTCCTCTCCGTCGATTCAATTCTGCTTTACGGTTGTGAGACCTTCAGTTTGCAGGGAAGAAGGTATCCTTCGCCTAGTGGTTTTCGACAATGGATGCTTACGTAGTCTGGCCCAGGTGGGATGGAGTGAGCGGGTTAGTAACCTAGAAGTAAGTGGTCCGGTGTTTGGGAATGCATCGAACACGAACTCGCTATCGCATCGAATTGAACTCAATTGGGCTTCGTTGGTTAGGATACATGTTGAGCATGTCTAACAATCG